GGGGGGGACCATGTGAGTAGCCACTATGGAACTTTATTACTGCACGACCGCGGACGTGGGGCTTGGGGCTTTCCGCCGTCGAATAGAGACTGTAGAAACAACCGCGGGGCGCCATAGAAATGATCGAGACTTCTCTCGCGGGTGCGCGCAGCAGGCTAGTAGATTGTGGCCGCGACGTGAGTCTCTCTACGGCCGGCGGGTCGGCGGTCGGCGCGGCCGGCGCGACGGGTCGGACCCGCGACCCGCGACCCGGGGGACGGGGCGCGAGCTGATTCACGGAACTTGTCTCCCCTCCGCTCCCGCACTCCCGGCCCCGGCCAGCGCGGTTGGACGCGATGATTTGTGCTTGATGCATGCGGAACATGGTGTGAGCACCGCCACCGCATGATGGTCCCCCCCTTCCCCGGAGGAGGAATTCCCTCGCTGCAGCGGCGGCGTGGCGCGGCGGCGCTCGCGCGGAACCAAGTGCTTTACCACGGGCTTTACTGTGCCTCGCTGAGCGCCGCGGGGGGCACGGGCACGGCGGCATGGACGTCAGCCGATAAAGACACACACACACACACACACACACACACACACACACACACACAGAGGTAAATATGTACCCACGTGAGTATGTAGAACAGGTGCGCGCGCGCACACACATACACGCTCACTGAGTCGCGCCACGCGAGGCAGCCCAGCACAGCTCACTCGTCCTCGTGGGCCCGCTACCGACTGACTGACTCTCGGCGGGCGCAACGCGTTGTGCTTACTGAGAATGGGACGGCTCGCGATTATAGGAGGTGGGGGGAGAGGGGTGAGGGCAGAGAGAGAAAGAGAGAGACGGAGAGAGAGAGAGAGGGGGGGGGGCATCTTTGGCACGATGAGGGCGACCATCGCCCGTGGGTTCGTGCCGCGGGGAAGTCCCTCCCTACTCCTCTCCAGCAGTTCGTGAACCCTTTACAACATACACTGCAAACCATCGAGTGAGGTTTCGTGCTCGATATGAGTGAGACAATGTTTGAGGACCGTAAGTTATGACGCAAGCAGAGCCAGAAAAATAATCTTGGTCTCAGGAGAGCGATATTTTTCGGGTCACTGATCTCGCCCTCCTGAGAGCAAGATATCTTTACTCGAGCATTTTCAGTGCAAGAAGTATAGAACGAATGTGGCTGCGTAAAAAAAGGCATCGAGCGTTCATCGTGAGCTTTATTTGGCGTTACTTTGAGAAGACGGCCCGCGGGCCACTGAAGAAACGCGGCATGCGGTGCACCCCATGCGAGAGACCCCGACCTCCCGCCTGTCACGAGTGTCGGTGCAGCGTTTCGCGTTCTCCCCCCCGATGATATATTTTTGCTGGACTCGGACAATTCTTTTTGCAGCGCGGCGTCCCGCGACATCGTTATCGCAGCGCGGCGAAATAAAAATTGTAATACAATCGCAATAAAAAGGAGAAGTGTATTCTGCAACGCTTTCGTCGCGAGATTATGCGTCCTCTCCACGCTCTCCACATGGCCCCTTGTCGCGTAATGCAACTCTCGGAAACGATGGCGGGTCACCGTGTGGTGAGAGGCTGGAAGAGTGTGAGATAGACTGTTGCCATCTAAGGATCCTGCCACTGTGTTCCTCTCGAACTCCTCGACCTCACACTGTGAAAACAAATTGCTGGGAGTTTTCGGCTCTTAACAGCAATTAAGGGAATTGAGAAAATTCCAGAGAGCTCCCAAGAAATGTGTTCTTTTTTTCTATAGTTAAAAAAAACTGTGTACGGCCAGTACGGCACTTACTTCCCGCACTCATACTGACAGGTTAACTACGTTACGTCTCTGGTAACGTGGCGCTGCTGGGACCATGACCGAATCGCGACCTATGCTCCAGCCTTTCTGAGAACACTTGTTTACAAATATGGCGCCATGAGCTCCCGCTTGCATGTGCGTCAGTTTCAGTTCCTATGGGGCACTTGGAAAACCAAGTGTGAGAATGTGGTGCTCTTTTTGCAGGAGTGTGAATCCGTCGGCCAATTCTCATTCAAACGCTTGCACAGGTGTGGAAGTTTCTTGAAATTTTGCACACTTGTACCCCAAGGGCATAAGACTGGGAAATTCACGCTGTTGCAAGTGTGCGACGACATCCATACACACTTCCTACTGGTGGGTTTGTTGGGTGTGTACCGGCCCATTGTGTCTGGCGCCCGGCGCGGGCGCCTCTGCCGTCCAGAAACAATATTTCTGGCCACACTACTACTTCGCCTGCCGGCCGTACAGTCAGCACCAAAACAAGCAGAGGAGGGCACACAATAATCGGAAGCAGAGAGTCTCACGTTTGTCAGCGCGCGGGGAAGCCGAGCCGAAGGCGTGTCGACCTGTCAAATTACTGGCAACATTTATTATTGTTACTCTATTTTTTGGTGAGAGAAGTCAAAATGTTTGAGATGCCCTTGACGCGTAGTGTCCCACCGGTCGTTTGCCAAAGCGGTCCTCAGCCGACTTTGCAAAATCCACCACGAAGGGGGCAACGACTCTGAGATCTCGAGTAATTACAACGGATTATGGATCAACCCTGATTTCGACCGGATAACCCCTACGGGATTACCTTAAGACTAAATCCTCGGTAGTATCCTTTGCTACAGCCCAGCCCAGATTTTTTCCCCGTCGGAAATCCCGCACGGCCACGGACGGCCACGAATGCGAAGAAAATTTGCCAGTGTTATTTCGCACATCATTCGCTAACAAGTCACTGGTGAAAAGTATGTGTGTCTGAGTGTGTGAAGTGGTCGTTATAGAGACAGAGGTGGGTGTCGGCGTGGCGCGTGGCGCATCTTTTTGCACAGAGGCTGCTCGGGCCGCACTGGCCGGCTGCCCACCTCTGGTGCTGCCGAGCGGCCTGATAAGCCTAGGCTCTTATCGGAGAAGTCCCGCTCGGCTTCTTTTCGCCCCCGCAAGTGGCGTAGGTAGGGCAGACGCACAGCACAGGTATGCGCGTGCACGCGCGGCCAAGAAATGTGTGCGTCTGGTTCTTGTGTTGTCGTTTGGCTTGGCTACGGCTTTGCACGGGCGCGGGCGTTCTCGCTCCGCCGTCATCCCCAAACCCATTGAGTAGGAACACCATTTGGAAAAGGTTAAAGTACAACTGCAAAATTTTATTTCACAATATTTGTATTGGGTATATCAACAATTAAAATGCAGTTTTGGGCGATAAAACACTTCAAAATAACAGTTGTTATTCATTATCCATTTAATAGTACAAAACTTATAATCATGTAACGATTTTGTTACAGGAAACAATAGAATACGTCTTTGTTTTTAATATTATTACAACAACTTAATGTATTTTGTGGCTCATGTAAAATTCATACAACTCTAGAAAATGGTAACAGATGGAATGTTCGTTGGAAAGTTTATGTTAAAGACGGGTTACCCCGACATGTTGGAATAGCTACAGGTAAAAGTTGTACAAATAATATACGTGGCTCAAACTCACCACTAGTCAATATACAACACAGTTTTAGAGTGAGCATCGAAAAACGATATGATTGTAACGAGGTAACGCATCGAGGTAACCCTGTAGAAACTAAGATAGATTGTATTGCTTTCGTTGCGCACAATGATTTGAATGAGCCACCTTCAGACTTCGTCTGTGCCAGTGCGTTAGTCTCCCCAATTCATATCGCGGGAGTAAAGAAATTATCAGAAAATAAAATTATAACGGTCGAAAATACCCGAAAAATTGTAGCACTCTAAATCTACTACGAGAGCACTCACGTACTACCAGGAAAGAGAACATGTCGATTGTAACAAAAACTAAGCATATCGAAAACACTTATTACGGTTATTTACCGACACCGCGGTTTAAGCCATTAGAATTTTAGATCACTGATTCTCTAAATTTGATTTACTTATGTTTCTTTCAAAAATATAATTTTGAAATCTAGCTGCTGGCACTGCAGCGCCCAACGAGGGCCGATGATTTTCGCGAAGCCTAGTTAAGGAAACCTTTGTTTGGCACTTTTTCGGAATGATGTCTTTTGACAAAGCTGTTGACACCTAATTTGAGTTTATATATGCCAAAGCTAATACAAATTATGGGCCTGGTTCTTCAAACACTGGCCAATTGTCCGATAGGTCCTCTACAAGCTCCATCAGCTCTATTCCTTAGAGTAATTCCAAATTGAAAACGAAAGCGCCATATCTCACGACGTTAATATACTTGTCAAAAAGTATGTTTTAATGTATTTTCAAGGCAATCGTTCCAACTTTGCGAAAAAATCTCAAAAACATCTGTGAGATGCTATAAAACAACGCCAAATATCCAAGCTTCCACTAAAAAGCTAGGACGTAGAGTGCGATAATTGAAAATGTATCAAAATAAGTCAGGATTTACAGACGGGAATCATGGACATCAACTGTGTAGATATCGTTACTTACATAATTTTGTAAAAGACTATATATCGACCATTGCTCTCAGTCATGTGCACTTCAGGGTGCAAGCGGCTTTAACTGCAAAGCCATTTTCTAATAACTTCACAACTAAGACAAGAGGCGAAGATTCGAATTATGACGATGGATAGCAACTACTGACAAGTGCGGGATCTTAGACCGTGCTGAGCGAAAGAGAAAAGTGGAGTGAATGCCGATAAAATTACGATAGGTCTGAGCGTGAAGTGTTTAAACCGAGCATTTACAGACAGAAGCAAACGAGATTGCAATTGACAAGAAACGAAAGGGTGAAAATTTTGGCCCCCCATAAGAAACACCCCGATGCTGAGACTACGACATGAGTTCTACATATGACAACAAACCACGGCACAGAATCACGATTTTAGAACATATCAATTATTATTAACTACCTGGTGGGGGAATTCACTAGCTATTCTCAGATGTTACTGTGTCAGGACAGACCAGGTCGTCTGCCATTTACTGAATAGAGTGCGATGACATATTGTGGACAAAGTAATGAATAGGATTTATTTCGTAGCGAACCGCCGACGAGACGACCCCATTCTTCTCAGAACGAAGCTTTAAGAAAGTATGCAATTATGGAGAAAAGGGTCCATAAGACCTGACAACAGTTTTGGTATTGGGAAACGATGTTACCCGTCTTGTAGACGGAGAGAATGCTAACGGCACTACGCAACAACGCGGCCAATAAAGAACTAGAACTGTTGCTACCCACAATAACTTAACATATACATGCTCGGGTAGGCACCTAATGCGAGGTAAGAAAACCTTTTCCCCGCAGACATAAAATCCCCGAATACAGAAAATAACTGGTAAATCAACACGACGAAAACTAAAATAGCAGATATCAATTGAAAACAGGCTCTTAATTCTCTTGTAATTGAAAATATTCACATATTTTTTTTATCACATCACAGCATTAAAATAACTAAACATTATCCCACTCGATCCTGCGGAAAGGGTTCTTCCTTAGATAGGCCCGAATGCGAATTGCATTAATTAGTTAAACATAACCATCCATAACAACTACTATCAAAAATGCAGTTCCTCTAAATGCTTCCCAAGAAAATAATCAGTCCTCCTGGGGGAAAGGCAATTGGTTGTATTCTCTATTAAAGTATTTCTTTACGTGGGATTTGCCGTGCAGCAAAAACGAAACCAAACCTGATGCGTTTATTCCGGGCGGCTCAGAGCAGCTCCGCAGCTGGAGGTAGGCAACGCGCGCGCAGAGCGGGCTGCGGGTTGCCTACCTCGCGATCCACAGGGGCCCTGCCGAGGGCGAGGCAAAGGTGCGACCTCGTGCTTGCTCACCACTCGACTTGCTGAGACGGATTTGTAGGCCCGTTACACAATCTAATAAACATTACTTATTGCAATGGCACCACGACGCATGTGCCCAACATATCGTGTCAGTCACATTCGACATGGCCTAGTTAAACATTAAAAACGTCTTTTTTGAGCAAACAAGTTCGCCTACGTACAAAAGAAAAAAAAAGTTTTTTCTTCTTTTTAAAAAAGGGAATAACATGAGAAGGGGGAAATATATGTACAGGATAGCGTCACAATATGATAACTCTGGGCAGGCAATATGCTTTTAAACATAACTCGAAAGCCGTTTTGGCTGCGTAATAAATTCTCAATAACGTAATATATGTACAAGGCGAAGTGGGTTTCGCCTTTCCCTACACACTTATTTACACAATATTTAAAACAGTCAACAGTTTACGTCGTATCGGTTCCTGTGTAGCCGAACGCAATATTATAATGCGGTACTAATGTCCCGTGATTGTCCCAGCCGGTGGCGGCCCCGCGGGGCGGCCTAAGACTGGTGCAGGTGCTTGGAGGCCGCGGCGCCGGGGAGGCCGCCGTGCGCCGGGCGGGCGGCAGCCACCCTTGGCTGGTCAGACTGGTGGCGTCGCAGCAGCCTCGTCTCCTCCGTCGTGGACTGCTCGGCGTCCGAGTGGTCCTCCAGCGACGACCCCCGCGTCACGGCGCCCCCTGTGGACCAAAGAAGGGTCCACGTCAAGCCAACGAGTCGAGCACATCCCACGTGTACACACGTGTACGAGTATTATGGTGACCGCGAAACGGATCAGGACTGCCATTGGCGTCCGTACGACATGGCGTAATATTTTTAGCCCGGGGTAGAAATATCACGACATTCGACATTCCTATAAACTGTAATAGTAGACCTGATACTTTTTGGAATGCCATGATATTTTTACCCCGGGGGGTATAAATGTTATGGGATCCTTATGGAGCATCCAGAAAGTATTCTTGCCATTTGCCGTTACGAAACTGCCAAGTTCAGCCAATGGAAGCTCTCATAGCGCCTGATCGATAGGCAACGTCTTGCATGCAGTGCACGCGTGCACTGCTGGTTGGCCTACCCTGGTTTTCGCAGGCGCCGAGCTCCAGTAATTCGCCAAACGAATATGAGAAGAGCAGGACGAACTTTCTGGACGATCCCCTTTTTGAACTCAAACATAGTGGCCCTGATCCTTTTGGGAGCCCATGCTATTCGTACCCCCCTCGAGCGACACTCACCTGGCAGCGAGCCGGAGGCCCCAGTGGCGCCGGCGGGCAGGGCGCCGGTCCCCACGTCCACGGCGCCAGGGCCGGTCTCCAGGAACATGGCCTTGAGGTGTCTGGCCGACATGGCCGCCCGCCCGATTACTGCCGGGCCGTCGTCCGCCGTCCTGCTGTTGCTGTCCGCGGCGCCGCTGTCCGGCCTGCTGTCCAGCCTGCTCGGTGCCGTCCCTGGCCGCTTGGTAGCTGCCTGCCGGCCGCCGTTGCGCTCCGACGGCTTGGACGCTTGGGGTTGCTGGGCAGAGAACGGGTTCGCTTTTACAACCCTGAGGCGGTCGTCTGGGGGGTAGTGTTGGCGGTGAGGTGGGTGCGCTCCATGCCAAAACGGTGTTTCTCACTTTGTGTTGGTCACAACGGCAGATTCTGATTAAAATATGTATTTCAATGGTTCCGCGTCAATGCCACCGCCCTTCCCCACGACTCTCCGGCTTTGAGCGTCGTGTTCAAGCTTTACACTTAGTTTGCTGAAAAGAGCAGGTGGTCAAGTTGCAGCTAACTTCCACGGAGGACACCTAGTAGCTCAGCTATTGGTCTAGTGGGGAAGAGTAATTTCAAAAGGATCTAACTCCTTATTAGCATCAGTTACATAATTTTGTACATTAGATTCCCAAACAAAACTATTTGACACTAAAACTGTACTGGAACTCTATAAACTATCTGACGTCTGCTTTAATAGGCTACCACAAGAAGAGGCTACACTCAAACAATTAATTTGCAACATTATTTTACCAAACGCATTACAGAGCTAACTAAACAAAACGCAACGGACGAAAAGTAAATCTAGATAGAATCGTATTTGAGTATCTTACATGCCGTCTCTGCAAGGATTCGTCAAAGCGGCAGGATTACAGACTATATATGCGGATTTCCGCGAAAACACTGTCCTCAACTCTTCCTCCCTCGGTGCGGAAGTCGGAGCGGAGTGCAGTGCTGCCAATCGTACCACATTAATTTATAGGGAAAAAGATACCGGGTTGTCCGAACACCGTCAGTCCAAAGTGTACAACAACTTGGCAAAATATTATGCATCACAACACAACACTGCGAAAGAGTATTCATTTTCACAGTTAATGCCAAGCCATGCATAGTATAGCTGTAATACACTTGGATTTGCAGTGCATGGCGGAAGAATGGGAGGCAGGAGCTGCAGGGCCCACACAGGACGCCGGCTGTACAGTACAAGCTGGAGATGGCCTCAGAAAGCGACGCGATGCTGATAACACTCCCTTTTTACGAAGATAATGGGGAGATTACGGAGACGATTGATTTATTCAACGCCCTATTGATCCCTGCGGAACACCTGAGCAAGGTGGGACGTGGAGGGTGTGACTGGTGTGGCGGCGTAGGGCGTAGGGCAACACTGCAAGAAGCGAGTCACAACACCAAAGCAAAAAACCCTCCCAGGCGGCTGTGGTATATGGCACAAAGATACAAGTCACACATGGGTACAAAAGTCATCGTGCCCCGGGTGGCGGAAACGAAAGAAAGGAAACGAAGTAAGTGACGGAGACAAGGATGGTTGATACCGCTGCACCCCGTGCGCCCCGCTCAAAGCATCACATGAAGGCAGGTCAAATGCACAGCGCCACACAGTCACAGCGTCGGGCTCACCTCTCGGCATCATCAGAGCTAGCGGAGCTCGGAGGGCAGCGGAATGTCAAACCTATAAAAGGGCAGCAAATGAAAAGAGAGTCTCCTTATAGCGGCGGGCTGAGAAATTTAGTGTGTCAGTGAGAGAGAGAGAGACGGAGAGAAAGGGAAGAGAAAGAGAAGAGAGAGACAGAGAAAGATAAAATGGTGAGAGGGGGGGGGGAGAAAACAAATAAAATATTGCGAGGGGAGAGAGGGTGAATGCTCGCGAGGGCGTCCCGTTCCCAAGATGATTGCTAAGGTCCTTACCGCGGGCTGGCCTGCCGCGCTGGCGGGCCTCCTCGCCGGGGAGCACTCGCTGTCCAGGCTCGCCGTGTCCGAGATGAGCCTCTCCGTCTCCGGGTCCATGGCCCTGGCGCCGCCCCTGCCGGACCCGCCGTCCGCCGCCTTCTTCAGGATGGACTTGCTGCGGCGCTGAGGTTCCGGCGTGGCGCTCGCCGCCCCGGCCGCGCCGCCGCCGCCCGCTCCGCCTCGCTCCGGGGAGTCCGCCGACAGAGACGACTTGCTGCCTCCTGCCTTACCTGTCCACCCCAACCCCTTCTGGTCAGATCAATGTAGCATGGCGCCCCGGCGACACCCCGCCCGCGTCTCGACGCGGAGCTCACGCTACGGCTACTCTCTGCTCCGCTACTCATACGCTAGCATACGGGGTTCGTTCCCCCAAACACTGTTCTAATACGTTTAGTCCGACTCTCTACTGGTAGTGTGTGCACGACTCTCAATAGTAACCCCAATACCCCCGCCTACGGTATATATACGTGACAGTATGTACAGGAAGGGGCCGGCGCCCTCGCGGCTTACCCTTAGACGAGGCCAGCGAGCTGAAGATGTGGTGGTTGATGATCTTCGTGGCGGAGGAGGCGAGGCCCTTGGGCGGCAGGAACGAGGGCCTCCTAAAGCCGCCCGCGCTGCCCCCACCGCCACCGCCCGCCGACCCCCTCCCCGTCTTGCTGTTGGACTCCAGTGACTCCAGCGAGTCGCCGCCGTCCAGCGACGAGGACTGCTTGCCCTGGACGTCGAACCGCGTCTTTCCCCGGTTGCCCTTCCCGCTCTGGAACAGAAGGATCCTGCTATAGACCGTGCCCACTGCCGTCAGCCTGAAGCGAGGTTACCACCCAAGGGTACTTCCCTATAAATTCAAGCGTGCACCAATTTTTTATTGTTTTCTTATTATATAGTTTTTTTCTTTTCTGATTTTTTGGAGGGTGCACACTGATTTTATTTTTTGAGCGGAGTACACCTCGGGTGCCACCTGCGAGAGCGAGGAGAGCACCCACCTGCTGGAAGCGCGCCTTGCGCTGCTGGCGTGGGCTGTCGCCCAGCGAGGTCCTGGACCCCCTCGACCCCATCCGCGGCTCCGCGTCGTCCATGGAGGCGGCCGCACACACGGACCTCAGCGCCGTGTCCCCGGAGGCGCTCTTCCGCACCCCCCGGATCTGCCAACATAACAGTTTGAGAGCAGGGAATTTCAGGCTGGGGCCAGGGGATTGTTTTATTTCTTGCCAACTCACCACGCTGCCGTCGGCTTGCACGCCCTGCATAGGGTTGATGTACAGATTTGAGTCGCCGTCCGTCAGGTCACCCTGGCTGAGGAAGGGCTGCGTCTGGCACGACGCGTACGTCCCGGAGCTGTCCACGCTCCCGACGTCAAAGCAGTTGTTGTTATTGTTGTTGCTGTTGTAGTTGACGTTGCTGTTGATGTTGTTGGCATTGCCGTCGGGCAGGGGCTGGTCCATCAGGTTGTCGTTGTTGTCGTCCATGAAGACGAGATCGTTCGAGCCGTCCATGAAGTCGAGGCCTCGTCCGGAGCTCAGGATCTTCATCTCAAGACACACGGGGTTCTTGTAGTCGCTCGTAGGAAGACACATCAGGCCCTCGGCGTCGCAGTTTTCCTTGTAGTTCTAGACATATGAACAGAGAGCGGTGCACTGTAGGAGCTCGCAAGGTCAAATATGTGTTATAAATTATTTCAAATGTAGTAATTTCAAATTTATTTCAGCTGAAATCTTCCGAAACGTACAGATTACACACATTGCCCTTAACTAAATTCTTATCAATAGTTTATATCTGAAGTGTCCAACATATACATATGCATGCTAAAATGCTACTTGGAATATTTTGAAAATAATTGAGTCAAAGTAAGTATTCTAAATTATTACAAAAAGATGAAATGCATTTGTTAAAGAGAAGTATCAAGCAGAGTGACGGTGTGATTTGATCTACATATTTATCGACATGTTTATGAAGCTTAGTCTACTGTAAAAAAAAACGTAATCTATCCTATTTAGTTCGCCTCTACATAATTCCGATAGCTACCTTGTTGCAGAACTACTATTTGACTGACTTCAGTGTATAAGATGAAAGGTGCGGTGATATGATTGATGCTCACTAAATAATCTCGACTGTGAATGGGATGTTTGACTCGATGAGAACAATCGCGACTACTACTTGCATGGTCTAGGAAAGTATAAGGTGAACAGATAAGTGCACTAGTAAAAGGCGTGCACATGCAACGTCTAACCACCACCGGTGAAGGGAGGGCCCTCCGTTCCAGCCCGCCGATTGTGTCTATAGAGAGAGTCCCCAGCTGCGGCGACAGGAAAGCACAGCGCACAGGTCTGAAAACTTGAGATTTGTGCGATCGATGTCAGAATATTTTCCCCGACAGTATAGTGCTACTACGTCCATCAGAATAGGAATCCCCACCCAGTCGGCCGACACCACCCGGTAGCCGGGACCGAATCGCCGACCACTTGAAGGGCCGGTCGGCTGGTCGGTTGCTACGTGTGAGCCGTCATGGACGGGCCAGGAGATACGCGTATCGTGACAGCTTGAGCGCGCTTGAGCCGGCCGGCTAGATGGATGGTGGCCCCGCGTGGTTGGCGACAGCCGAGGCGACAGCCAACGACACCGTCGATTGGTGGGATCGACCGGGGGCCGGCATCACCCACCGAGCACGTCAGGACCACACGCGACGGCCGACAAAGTCACACCACAGGGGAGGGGGAGGAGGAGGGTGGGGGCACGAGTCACTCACCTTGTCCGCGCTCTAAACGGAGTTGGTCCGGAGTGCGCTGCCGCCGCGCGTCGGGGAGCCCAGGGCGCCCAACTGGGAGCCCCGCTCCTCCCTCAAGTCCCTCGCCGCAGAGGCCCTCGCCGCGGCCAACACCGAGGCCTGCACGGATCACACTGCGTCACACCGGGAGCCGCCCAAGGGTCACTCAATGACTGTCGCACCCACCGACTCACTCATCACTCACTCACTCAGTCACTCACTCAGTCACTCACTCACTCAGTCACTCACTCACTCACTCACTCACTCACTCACTCACTCACTCACTCACTCACTCACTCACTCACACACAATGAACATTGATCGTCTGCAGCGAGTAACGCAGTCGCAATGCTCGTATCGATTGTTATTTGACATTTCGTCAACCCCTGCCGCCCACACCCGTCCGATTAAAAAAAATAAAACGACAAGAAAAGCCATCCGCTCGTCACGAACAATTATGAGAAAAGGCGGCTGGTGAGTCACACACACCGGAGCGACAGAGACAGACGGAGGATAGAGAGAGAGGGTCCATGGGTCCAGGCAAGTGAGACAAGGACGGACAGAGCGAAGCGTCATCAGCGTGCGCCATTCAACAAAGCTTTTCCAACGGATCACCCCCCCCCCTCGCGCTGCGTCACGTCGATTCGAGGTGCGAATGAGTTCGCCGATGATGGGCCAGTGGGGAGCAGGACAATGTTTCGGGGTAAAAATAGGGCTCCCCACGATAGAAACACACATACAGACACGTAATAACGATCGCAAGCGCACAGACACGTCTCGCAAGCTCACGCACACGAGTACACACACACACACACACACACGCAGACACACACGAATCCCCCCAACAGGGCGAGCAGCATTTAGGCGTCTCTCTTTCGTTATTATTTGCGGGCAGATAAGGGGGCAATGACTCTCTGGGAGCCTCGCGGATCTGACACCTCTCCCTGCGCTGGGTGGCGCGGCGCGCGCCCGGGGCTCAGGCAGCCCAACGTGCTCGACGAGGTATGGGGTATACTACACTACGTTCGGCATGCACCGGACTTGGTATAACGTGCACCAGGCAGGCCGTGCAGCTATAGCTACTTGGCGTGACTGGTCGAAGCGCACACGTACATAACAACGACAACACACGGAAGCTTGAATAAAGGAAAGCAAAGGAACGGAAAGCGCCCACCGCAAACAATCAAATTACAATGTGGCTGTTGCCTTGCGAGACATGCACTTGGGTTGGTATACACAGGTGCGCCGCCACGGTCTAGGCGAAACCTGCTCGCCAGTATACCAACCAGAGCGTGCACGACAGGCAAAGTTTGGCGGAGAGCCATTAAAAAAAAAAGTGAATCGGAAAGTTTGGTTTGGTGGGCGCAACTATGCTAAAGAAAGCTTGCACAACGCCAACATTTACACCAACAAGACTCAAGATGATCGAAGATAACTCAGACTCTACCTTGGTGGTGCAAAAGCAACATTCGAACTCACTAGGGAATTCGTCAACTTTGTCGAATTTCTTGCTGTCTTTGCTGTCGTCCTGCCAAAGAGAGAATGGGGAGAGAAACAGAAGAGAAATATGAGTGACACGACAGATATGTATATTACAGTTTATCATGCGGTGGCTTAGCGGTGGTCGACAAGCTCGAATAAATAACAGGGGCATTACAACGTTATCCCCCGGCTAGAGAGCTCTCAGACCGCGGGGTTTGGTAAGGGTAGGACCCTCCTCTCCTGGAGCTGGGCCTGCTGGGCCTTCTGGACAACTTGGACCGTCGTGTGGCGCCTAACTTGCCTGTGTCTCGAGGCTTACTCTTGAGTCAGGCGCAGCTCTGGAAGGGGTTGGAAGGAGTGAGGGGGGTCCCCGCCTAGAGAGGGCAAGGGAAAAGGGGGGGGGGCAGGGGCCTTTAGGCGAAGGACCTAGTTAGAGGCTCCAGTTTCTGCGGGTGGCAAAAGTTGGAGAGGAAGAGAGGGAGAGAGAAGAAGGAGGGGGGGAGAGAGAGAGAGCGATGCAGAGTCAGTGAGGGGGGGGGGGCGGAGAAAGAGAGTGAGAAGGGCCCTAACCTTCCGTAAGGCGAGGCGAGGCGGCACGGCCACAACGTACGTGACTACCAGCCAACCCACTTCAGTCGCGTCGTGTTCGTCCTCCAACTGTCCTGACCCCTCCCCACCTCCCGCTCCTCCATCCTGCCGATACGCATTGGCATATCGCGAAACACTTAGTACAACGTCACTTATTGAGCGCAACCCCATAAATAATTCGAGATCTCTTCAGGTGAAGGCGCCATCAACTATTTGTCTCTCTATTTACGCGTTATAGTTTATAAACAAAGTTTGGGGCACATGAGAAAAATCCACGAGTGTACCTGCTGCAAGGGGGAAAAGGCGAAGGGAAAGAGGGAACGGCACGGCGCCGAGAAGGATGGCACGGCAAAGGAGAGGGAGCAAAAGTAAAGGGGTGGGATGCTATGCACGTCCCAGGCCCGCACGCTGCGCAGCGCCACGCCACGCCACGCCGCGCCCCGGTGCAGCGCAGCTGCCTCCCTCCTCGACCAACAGGAGGAGGGAGGGATGCGTCGCGTCGCTGCGGACGGGAAAATTACTATCACTTCGTGCCGCGTAAAACAATAAGCGCGGGGACGGCAACAACGGGGAGCGAATGGTATCGTAACGGACCGCCACCACCGCCCCCCACCACCCCTGGCACCATACAAATAAAACGGGTGTGGCGGTACGCACGACCCGGTAAAAATATTGTCTCCATATTTTATTGAGGAGAATAAAAAAGAAAAACTTTGATAATTTTTAATAATTTCAGGAAAATTCCTCAGATTAAGGGAAAGTCTCCTAAACAAGAGAGGGAAATTCCCAAAGTTTTGGGGGATATCTCTTCAAAATCTGAGGTGATTTCCTCACACTGTAGTAGTTCCTAAAATTTTTCCCCTTTTCCTCCAATCTAAATTCTTTCTAATCATATGGATTCGTTTCACAGTTAGCAAGAATTTTCATTTTTTTTTTAAATATTTTCGTGTGTTACAGTTGGCCGCACGATTTTGTTTTCGCCGAGTCCATGCCGCCAGTTCCATTTTCCCGTGGGCAGCCGGGCCTTCATCTCCATTCTTGCTCATCCAATTACGCTTTAGCTTTATCGGATTCATGCAGAGCGGGAGGAGGAAGAGGAGGACTTTGTCGTCGCCACAGGTGGGGGTGGGAGAGGGGAGGGGGGCAGAGCCGAAGCGTCGTCTGCTGCAGTGCAGCAGGACATGCAAGCCACCGCATCGCTCAACAGGTTGGCCGCTCTCCACTTACAGAGAGAACGCCTGACCCCTCCCCGGGGAAGAAATATCACAAAACGCCAGACGCGGGCTGAGAGAAACCGGGAGGCTGAGTTGAGTTTGATGTAAAACCCTCATCGACTGCGCGGACGCGAATAGAAAAGAGCGCAGTTTCGTGAAAGTATGCACAAGATAAGGTTTGGTGATACAAACGACAATGAGAGAGAGCAAAAAGGATATGACACGGGGATCGAACAAACGACAACAGGACGGAAAAAGAGAACAAAAAGGAGAGGATGTGAGAGAAAGGCAGAAAGAAGAGAGAGGGGAGAGAGAGAGAGAGAGAGAGAGAGAGAGAGAGAGAGAGCGGCGCAAAAATGTTAAAGCTCAAAGAGTTAATCATCCCCACGCTAGCTGCCACCCACGCACTCTCCAATAACATTCGTACTCTTCCCGCCCACTCTCTGGCCCCGCATGCCCGTCTCTCGCAGCGCCATGAATAATGACTGCCTCGCCTCTGCGATCCAGCTCCCCCCGCACACGAAATAGCACGTCAGCCCTACAGGATCAGGCTACTTTTTTCACGTCATTCTTTTCTTTTTTTTCGAAACGAATAGAGATTGAAATGTACACTCGGTATATTCAAATGTGAACATGGCGGTGCAAAAAGTAGCCTGTTCTCTAGAAATGAAGTAGCACGTGGACGGCCCCTTACCGACCTCAGTCCATGCTTACCGCCAGGCTGCCCGGCCCGGTGGAGACGGTGAGGGGCGCGTTCTCGTCGGCGTCGTCCGGGTCCAGGGACAAGCTGCACTGCTGGCTGTTGACGCAGCCGGGCTGGTGCTGCTGGGCGACGACGCCGTGGTGGTGGTGGTGGTGGCCCTGGCCGCCGCCGCCCTGGCCGCCGCCCTGGTGGTGGGCGGCCTGGTGGGCGTTGGCGGCGGGGACGGGGTTGACGCCGGCCAGGGCCGCGGCGGCGATGGGGGCGGCCGCGGGGGCGGCGGCCAGCGGCGCCATGAGCTGCGCGGTGGACGACAGCGGCAGGTCGACGAGCAGGGGCTGCGCCGCGCCCAGCGCGCCCAGCACGCCCCGCGGCTCCGCCAGCGCGCCCTTCTCCGACTGGCCCTGCTGGCTCACCGCCTCGCCCTCCGAGTTGGTCTGCTCCCCGAGGCTGTGGCCCGCCGCCGTGCGCAGGTCTGCAAAACGCGACGCAAGTCAGCGAGGCCTTCAGAGTGTGCACGTTGTCTGTACGTCGAGTCGTGTGTGTGTGTGTGTGTGTGTGTGTGTGTGTGTGTGTGTGTGTGTAACGTGTATCCAATGACGCGGGGGACGTGTGTCCAAGTCGCACTCATAAAACGGCATACATGTGTGTAGCTACAAGCTCCCCAAGGATCACGGCTCTGCACCATTCCGAGCCGGTTACGCAAGATACAATTACAACAAGTGCCCCCACCCCCACCCCCTTTCCACCCCCTCCTTTCTACGTCACGGTGGCTCTCCCGCGCGCTCTGCCGGATTCCCACGGGTGGAAGAACCGCTCCCCAAACAATTTTCTATAGTGGCACATGTGTTTGTGTGTGTGTTTCTGCCCCCCCCCCAGGCCCCCAAACAACCATGAGCAGTTGTCCTATCTTTCAAGCAAACACGACAAAATCAGAGATTTTCTTTTTAGGAGAAAAGGGATAATATGTATTGTATTACGGAATAAGTCGGTATAAGGGATTTCTTCTCACCACCCTACTCACCTCTCGGCCTTGGGCAGCCGGTGCAACTTGTAATTAATGGGTTTACCAGCAGTTAGGCTGGGAAAGGGGGGAGTGGGTGCAAAGGTTGGTCAGTGTGTAAGTGTGTGTGTG